GGATTAATCCGCACAAAGCAACTGGCCCAGACAACATCCCCGGAAAAGTGTTGAAGGAATGTGCTGATCAGCTCTGCGAGGTGCTGGCAGGCATCTTTAACACATCACTTACCCTGGAGACAGTTCCCACCTGCCTGAAGACTGCCACCATCATCCCAGTCCCAAAAAGCTCTACAGTGACTGGTCTGAATGACTATCGGCCAGTGGCCCTCACCCCGATATTTGCTAAATGCTTCGAAAAACTGGTCATGACTCATATCAAAACAACCATCAACATCAACGAGGACCCTCACCAGTACGCATACCGTGAGAACCGATCAACAGAGGATGCCATCTCCTCTGTGGTCCACACTGCGCTCAACCACCTGGAGCAGAAAAACTCTTACGTCCGTATGCTCTTTGTGGACTTCACATCCGCCTTCAACACCATGATCCCCCAAACCCTGATGGACAAACTATCCACACTAGGACTAAGCCCCTCCATTTGCAGCTGGGTACTAGACTTCTTAACAAACAGACCACAGTTAGTGAGGATCCACAACTTCTCCTCCTCCACCATAACCCTCAGCACTGGCTCTCCTCAGGGATGTGTGTTGAGCCCCCTCCTGTTTACTCTCCTCACGTATGATTGTGCAGCTACCCATCCAGGCTGTCACATTGTAAAGTTTGCAGATGATACAGCGGTGGTGGGATGCATGACAAACAATGATGAGTCCAGCTACAGGCAAGAGGTGGAACACCTGGAGAGCTGGTGCAAAGAGAATAACCTTCACATCAATGTGAAGAAGACAAAGGAGATGATTGTGGACTTCAGAAGGAACAAAAACATCTACACCCCCCTGAACATAAGAGGATCTGCGGTGGAAGTGGTCTCCAGCTACAAGTACTTGGGTGTACACATGAATGACAACCTCAGCTGGAGCAACAACACCACCAGCCTGATCAAGAAAGCTCATCAGAGACTCTACTTCCTCAGACAGCTGAGGCGAGCTGGTCTGGGAAGCTCAGTCCTCACCTCCTTCTACAGGTGTGCAGTGGAGAGCATCCCGTGCTTTAACATCAACGTGTGGCATGGAGGCTGCACAGCTGCAGAAAGAAAAGCTTTGCAGAGAGTGGTGAAGGCTGCACAGAAGTCTGTCGAAGTCAGCCTCCCCACCATCACAGACATCTACACCTCTAGATGCAGGAAGAGAGCCACCTGCATCATGAAGGACCCCACTCACCCAGCACACACACTTTTTGCCCCGCTCCCCTCAGGAAGGAGGTTGAGGAGCATTAAGTGTAGAACCACTAGACTGAGGAACAGCTTCTACCCTGAGGCTGTTAGGCTCATGAATCTCTAACTAGAATAATCGCTGTGAAAAATCACATCATGTTGCTGCTGATCTGTTTCATGTTGCTGCTGATCTGTTTCAATGTTGATGTGTTCATGCGTGCTCATCTGCTCACACAGACTCATGTTCGTGTTTGTGCTGATGTTCAATGTTTTTATGTTATGAGTGCTTAGTGTATATTTAGTTGATGTTTTTCTTAGTTCATATCTTAGATGTTATTACTGTTTTTCTTATACATTTTATTGTTGGATGTATTTGGGACCCTGTGTGCATAATTTCGCTCCACCACATGTACCACATGAGGTGCAAATGACAATAAAGAAACTCTGACTCTGACTCTGACAGTGCCAAAACCACTGGTAAATGGTTTACTGACCATGGTATTACTGTGCTCAATTGGCCTGCCAACTCTCCTGACCTGAACCCATAGAGAACCTGTGGGATATTGTGAAGAGAAAGTTGAGAGACGCAGGACCCAACACTCTGGATGAGCTTAAGGCCGGGCCTCCATAACACCTCAGCAGTGCCACAGGCTGATTGCCTCCATGCCACGCCGCATTGAAGCAGTCATTCATGCAAAAGGATTCCCGACCAAGTATTGAGTGCATAACTGAACGTGATTATTTGAAGGTTGGCGTTTTTTGTATTAAAAACACTTGTCTTTCATTGGTGGGATGAAATATGCTAATTTTTTGGGACAGGCATTTTGGGTTTTCATGAGCTGTATGCCATAATCATCAGTATTAAAACAATTAAAGACCTGAAATATTTCAGTTGGTGTGCAATGAATCTGAAATATATGAAAGTTTCATTTTTATCATTACATTATGGAAAATAATGACCTTTATCACAATATGCTAATTTTTTGAGAAGGACCTGTA